ATGTATGAGAAGTTTTTAGGTTGTCCTTTTAAGCACATTCAGAGAACTAAATATAGTTCTTGTTTTTAGAACTCTGCAGCATATCCATCTACCCATTAGCAGACCACCACACACTTCCACTCAGCCTCCTCTCCAGGGTCACTGCTCTGTGCAGAAGAGAAGAGGGACTGTCCCTCAGACTGCCTTCTCATTCCAGCTCATCATTTCATTCACCCAAGCAACACTTTTTTTAAAGATTTTTTTTTTAAGATTTTTAAAATTTATTTGACAGAGAGAGACACAGCGAGAGAGGGAACACAAGCAGGGGGAGTGGGAGAGGGAGAAGCAGGCTTCCCACCGAGCAGGGTGCCCAATGTGGGGCTCGATCCCAGGACCCTGGGATCATGACCTGAGCTGAAGGCAGTCGCTTAACGACTGAGCCACCCAGGCGCCCCTTAAAGATTTTTTATTTTATTTATTTGACAGAAAGAGACACAGTGAGAAAGGGAACACAGGCAGGCAGAGTGGGAGACGGAGAAGCAGGCTTCCTGCGGAGCAGGGAGCCCAATGTGGGGCTCGATCCCAGGACCCTGGGATCATGACCTGAGCTGAAGGCAGATGCTTAATGACTAAGCCACCCAGGCGGCCCCACCCAACCAACATTTTAATAAATGCCAGGCATTGGGGAGCCAAAGATGAATAAGACCAGGTCTCTGATCTGAAAGAGTTTGCAATCTAGGGGTGCCTGGGTGGCTCAGTCGGTTAAGCGTCTGCCTTTGGCTCAGGTCATGTTCCTGGGGTCTTGGGATCGAGCTCCGAGTTGGGCTCTCTGCTCAGCCGGGAGGCTGCTTCTCCCGCTCCCTCTGCCTACTGCTCTGCCTACTTGTGCACACACGCTCTCACTCTGTCAAATGAATAAATAAAAATCTTTGAAAAAAAAAAAGCTTGCAATCTAATAGAGGGAGTGTGTAGTAAGGAATTTAATCTTGCTCGAAAAGAAGTTGGCCTTTGCCCTTGGCTCCTAGGAAATAACCTCTAAGCCTTTGAAATGTCCTAAGAAAGTTTGTTTGCCTGGGGGTCTTTGGCCACACCAGATAGTCTAGCAATGTGACTGGGGGAAAGGAGGACTTTGGATCCTGTGTTATCAGCTAGACCTCTGGAGAGTCTGGAGACTGAGGTCAGCTAACCAGCTCCAAATGACCAAGCTCCAATAAAAACTTGGGACACCAAGGCTCAGGTGAAATTCTCTGGTTGGCAGTACTCCCTGAGTACTATCATACACAGGTCCCAGGGAAGTTAATGCTATTCATGATTCCACTGGGAGAGGAAAACTGGCAGATTCACATTTGGAACTTTCAGGACTCTGCCCCATGCATTTCTTCCCTCTGCTGACTAATCTGTTTCCTAACACTGTGAAACTCTATCCGTGAGTAAAACAGCTTTAAGTGAGTTTTTCTGGTGAATTATCAAACCTAAGTGTGGTCTTGAGGACTATCCCTAAATTTGGGAGACAGAGATATATGCAGTGGGATGGGGAGGGCACAAACATGAGAATGGCTAATTCTACCTGCAGAGGTAGAGGTTCAACCAGGTATCTGTTGAATGGAGTTTTCCAAAGATGAGTAGATACATTTACCAGATGAATGAAGTCTGAGTGAAGAGGGACATGGTAGTGGGGGTGGGAGGATGTGGTATGAAACACATGTTTTTGTACAAGGAACTGTAAAGCAGCATCACGGGAGAGGAGGCAGCAAAGGAAGGAAGGTAATTTATGAGGCTGGACAGATATGCTAAGGCCAGGTCATGAAGAAACTTGCACGGCAGGCTGAGAAGCTTGTAGGCAATGGGAAATCCTTGAAGCAACGCATTTTTAGGAAGGATCACTCTGCCAGTTATGGCAGGAGTGGATGGCAGCGGGGGGAGGATTGGTGGCAGGGAAACTAGGTAAGAAACTCTGGCAGTACTCCAGGATGATGAAGACTTGAATTAAGGCTTTAGGTCATAGAGGAAATGAAGAAGAGAAAGGTGGAGTTTAAAGGATTGGGTGACTACTAGCTGTGAAAGGTAAGGCATGGACAGGAATCATCAGAATAATAGCTAGGTTCCTAGCTGGGGTGACTAAATGCTATTAACAAAGACAAGGATCGCAGGAAGACAGCATGATTGAGAGGGACTGTGGGGGAGAGATAATGAGTTCAGTTTGGGACGTGCCAAGTTTGAAGTGACTGGGAGATTGACTGGTAAGGAGTGAGATATATAGACCGGGCTACAGCACAGGGAAGGCATCAGCACATATACAGCAGCTGAAGCCAGGAAAGAGAAAGGCTGGGAAATGTCCCTTACATTTGGAAAAGAAGAGAACACCAGTCCCTTGATGAGAGCACCCAAAAGTGGTAGGAACAGAAGTCAGATTTCTGACACAAGTAAGTGTGAAGTGAACTAGTGAAAAAACAGTGGGCGCCTGGGTGGCTCAGTCGTTAAGCATCTGCCTTCAGCTCAGGTCATGATCCCAGGGTCCTGGGATCGAGCCCTGCATAGGGCTCCCTGCTCAGCGGGAAGCCTGCTTCTCCCTCTCTCACTCCCCCTGCTTGTGTTCCCTCTCTCGCTCTCTCTCTGTCAATAAATAAAATCTTTAAAAGAAAAAAAACAGTGATTATAGACAAACTAATATCAAACACAAGTGAATTAGGATGACACCAACTCTTTGATGCAGGCATTAGAACCTAGCATGGATTTCTGAGTTAACAGTAAAACAACCAGGACTGCTTACTTTGTATCAACTGTTTGAAAAGCCTACTCTTTTCCAGGTGTGTGGGTTCCAATGGCACTTGAGATGAAATAGGTGATCTCAACTAGTAGTCCTTAGTTAACTCATGCCAAGCTGGCCCTCTAGCCAAGGCAAGCAGGATAGGCCACGGCCAATAGTATCAGCTAGGATTCTTTGGTTGCAAGCCCAGAAATCAGCTCTGGCTAATTTAAGCAAGACTGAATTTACTGGGTGCTCGTTGGTTTAATAGCAAGAACAAGCAACACCCCCTACCTTTCCGAGAGCAAAATAAATGAATTCCAACGGATTCACTTTCTTTGTTCCTCTGCTCAGGATACAGATTCCTGGTAAGGAGCTGGTGATTGGTCCATCTTGAGTCATGAGCCTGATGTTTGGCTAAAGGAGCGCAGTTCCCCCAGATACAGTCCCATCAGATCACACTGCATAAGGAAGAGATAATTCCACAAAAAAAGAAACTGGTCGCTATTCAGAAGGGTGGCCAGAAAACTAATATCCAATCACAACAACTTATTTACATAGCCATCTTTGAAACAGGTGGCAGGAGGTGGTTTTACAATTCACAAGAAATATGACCAGAGGACGTGCTATTCAGTGATTGATAATATTGGCTCCTCAGTTAAAAATAGAAGGGGCACTCCTCTGAAATACATCCTTCAAGCTATCATTCAACAATATCAAGTTGTCCTTGGTGATAAGTTTGCCTGGTATGTTGTGTGACTCGTGCATCTGTCTCCCAAGAGTGTCCTTTTGTGGAAGTAGTCTCTCCAGACATGCTTATTTCTGAGCAGGGCCCAGCCAAGTCTCTACTGATACTAGCTAGCATGCACAGCTCCTGAAATGATACAGTTGGCTTGCTAAGAGCACAGACTAGTGCATTCTCCTTGGGAAGATCATGTAGCGTCTAGGCAGCTGACAACATGCTTCTTGGCAAGAGGAATACAATGTTCCTATTGCAGCATTGACCCAAATTCAGAAAAGAGCTTATTGATATAGGCATGCTTAAATCTGCAGCCAGCAGGATCATTGCGGGGGGGGTGTTGTCTTCCTTCTCCGATTTTATAGAGTCAGCTTGAGCAGCTCTGTAAAAGCCCAACACTGAGGCTAGTTCCACTGATGTGCTGAATTTGTGTAATCAGGCTCCACTTAACCACAACTTCTGCCCAGATCTGTTCCCAGAATTAATCAACCCAAAGGAACCAACTGCAAGTCAGACAAGATCCGACCTGCATGCCTCTAAAATTTTGTCCACAGGACACTAGCTAGTATTGTGGGAGTAAAATAGTGAACTCTTTTTGTCTGATAAAAGAAATCCTAGAAAGGTGGAAAGCAGTGTGAGCAGCAGATTGAGGCCACGGGAAATGGGACACATTTCCTGAACACAGAGCAGAAATGAATTGGTTAGTTTTAGACACTATCTTCCACTGCCACAGCTGCCAAAGAGCCCTAGTTTACAAATCTAAATGGATCTGGCCTGCTCAAAGCTCTGCCATGACATAAAATCTAAAACCTCTGCAGAATACCCAGGCCCACCTCTCTCTCCAGCCTCCTCCTGGGCAGCTCCCCAACCCTCATTTAAGCCTGAGGCATGCTGAACCTGCTTCAGGTCCCAGAGCGAGTCTGACCCCGCTCCAGAGGGGGCAACTGCATACTCTCCTGCCTCTGTGAGAAACTCCTGCTCTCCTCCTCTGCAGAGCCCTTTCTGTCCTGCTCTGAGCCTCAGTCTAGCTCCAACTTCCTCTAAGGAGCCTCCCTCTGCTTTCCCGCCCAGGGTTCTCTGCATCTTTCAGCCCGAAAGCAATCTTCTCACCACCATGCCGGTGGGTTTCTTTCCTCAACGGGACTGTTAATCCTCAAGGGCAGGGTCTGCGTCCTATCTATCCGCATAACCCCCTCTACAGCACTGGGGCCTAGCACAAGGCTTATCTTCTGAAAGGTGCAATGTTTGTTGAAGTTGTGAATGAACTCCATTTGCATTTTATCTCTGGCATTGTCTAAACCAAAGAGAATCACACTTCTCAGAAGAGGGAACATGTTCAAATACCAAGAACTGCAGTTCCTGGTAAGACCTTTTAGAAAATGACGTTACTAACAGCAGCAACTGGAAACTCAGCTGAATGCTTAAGTGCTAAAAACAGTGAAATGGGCCAAGACTTGAACAGTCATGGTTTAGGTAGCCTGGGGCAGGGGGGAAGGGGGGGTCACGACCATCTGAAGTTTAAGAACCACAAACAACTTCTTTCATAAGAATTACATATATTTACATTGTGGATATCTGGGATACACTTTTCACAGGAATTACTGTTCAAATCCAAAGACGACCCAATCTGGGAACCACTCTCAACGGTCTGAGCCAGCATTTCAGATAGGAGATAAGCAGTATCCAACTGGAGTGGCTTTGGAAAGGCCACTCTAAAATGAAATAACCTGTTGTTGTCACTGTCTTCCTCCCCAGACTTCTTTTTGGGATGAAGCACCATCCTGTGACTCCCCAAGGAGCCACCCTGTTCAGTTCTCCATGAGGCTCCCAGGGGCGTCCAGGCTATGGGGAGGGCTCTTCAGCTTGGGGGTAGACAGGTGTTCCAACTCATAGCGTCCGCTCTCAGACACCTTGTGTGTGACATTCTCCTTCATGCCTTCCTGGCTCCTCTTGTGCTCAATAATCTGCTGGAGCTGGTACCCAGCATATTCTGGCTTGGTGGTCAGCGGGCCGGCTGGCACGGCTACGCCAAGAACATCAGACACCATGTAGGGGCGCAGCCAGCCCACCAGAGGAGTGCTTCCAGGGCTATAGTGGGTCTGCTTGTGGTAGAAGAGAAGTCCATCTACCTATAAAAGGGGAAACCAGGGACCAAAATGACTTCCGGGGCCCCATGTTCCAGGAGAGTCTATGCACACCGGGGCAGCTCTAGGGTGCCAACTCCCTTTCCTGGATCACTGCCAGGGGAAAAAGAATCCTTGTTTCTCACACATGCAATTTCTCTAAATGAAGAAATGGCCTAGAAAACTAAATTTTAGAAAATAAAAACATAAATAGCACTTTCTTGTTTGCAGGGTGCTTGCTACCCACTACTTTATCCTCTTACCCACCGCTGAGGGTGTTTAAGAAAAAGGGCTAGGGCTAGTTCTGGGGTCCTCCCTAAAAACACAGTATGGAGGAGCCTGGGTGGCAGAGTCGGTTGAGTGTCCGACTCTTGGTTTCAGCTCAGGTCGTGATCTCAGAGTCCGTGAGATCGAGCCCCGCATTGGGCTCCATGCTCAGCACGATGTCTGCTTGAGAGTCTCTCTTCCTCTCCCTCTGCCCCTTCCACTTGGGCTCTCTCTCTCTCTAATAAATAAATCTTAAAAAAAAAAAAATAGGGGCACCTGGGTGACTCAGTTGGTTAAGCATTTATCTTTGGCTCAGGTCATGATCCTAGGGTCCTGGGATTGAGCCCCACACTGGGCTCCCTACTTGGTGGGAGCCTGCTTCTCCCTCTCCCTCTGCCTCTTCCTTGGCGTGTGCTCTCTTTCTTTCTCTTGCTCACTCTCTCTCTCAAGTAAATAAATAAAAATCTTTTTAAAATAAAATAATTAAATAAAAATAAAAACACAGTATGAAGCAGAAATTCAACTTGAACCTAGGTTTTCTGTCCCCAGATCCCATGCACTTTTCACCACTTAGACGTCTCTGTAATGGGGAATGTGCTCCACACAGGGAACAAAGCAGAGGAATCGGGCAGGCCCCTCCAAGATGCTGGACTGCTGAGCACAGGGGAAACAGGCTGTCAGGAAGCCCTGTTCCCCATGCCATTGTTGGCTGCCTAACTTCCCCCTAAATTGTCTGCAAGCTATGTTCTGGGAAACTCAGTTTTTCTCAACGGGAAGACCTCCTACAGTCCCACATTTTCTTTTCCATGATTCAGTGACTCATCTCTAAAAAGCATTTATTGTCACTGGGGCATAAGGATTATAAATAAAGATGGTGTTTTTACCACCTTCTTAATTGACTCCCAGAAATGAAGGCAACTTGGCCTTTGCCATTTCCTCACTATTTGGGAAGCTGTGATCCTTTTAGCAAAATTATATCGAGTTCAAGCAAATACTTGTGGGTGACGAGGCAGAATTTTAAAGGGTGTGAGGGGCAAAGGAAAGGTTGTGTGCTGAGCCTGGAGAGGGTAACTGCAGGTTCTGAGGATGACAAAAGACTGCCGAGGACTGAGGAACTTCTAGGGACATGAGACTTTCAGTGCTAAACTGGGAAAGATCTGGACAAACCAGGGCAGGTTGGTCACCCTGCTGCCGTGCCACTGCTCAGCAAGCAGCACCACCCCCAGGGACCATCTGCTCTTGGGAGGGAGGATAAGGAGTTCGTGCCCCCTTGGTCTGTCAGTCACAGGAGCCCCCAACTTTACCATCAGCTATAGCAGTCAAACAAGGGGCCTGGCTATCAGGCTCGTAGCGGAAAACAGGCACCCAAGAAGGACCTGGGAATGGAAGCCTTGGCCCTCCCTGCGCCCCTGCCTCTCCATATGTACAATGAGGGGTGTAGATGAGCTGTCCTTGCAGGGCCCTTCCAGCCCTGGCATTCTGACTTAACTAGCAGGGTGGAGCTGAGGCTCTGAAGGGCAGTGGCACATCCTTTCCCAGGAATCAGCTTTCAGCCCTTCTCTGATGCTCTGACACCTCAAAGTCAGAGGATATCCTAAGACTCTGTGTAGCCAAGCGTCCCTGCATCCTGCAATCGGGTCAGAGCAATAAAGACAATAGTTGTTACCTCAAAAGGGAAATCCATAGACAGCACCTTACACAGGCTCTCAGGAGTACAAGGGAAATTCTTTAGCCCCACAAATTTAAACTAAAATATAAATTAGAGCAAAGAATTAGTACATGTTACAAATAATATTGGTTCCAGCAAGTACATGTTACAAATAATATTGGTTCCAGCAAGTGTAACATGAATTAGTACATGTTACAAATAATACTGTTATCAAAGAAGAAAAGTTCAGTCTCATCCTTCCCTACCCGCCTCCACCCTGTGAATTACCGGGTTGGTAGTCCTCAACCTTGCTTTATCCACAAGAATCACCAGGGGAACTCTTAAAAATCACTGAAGCCCAGGCCCCTCCCCGAGATTCTGACTGAATTGGCCTGGGTCCCAGGCATTTTTTTTTTTTTAAAGCTATCCAGTTGATTTTGACACACAACCAGGATGGACAACCACTGTCCTGTGCTAGGTTTAGGGACTGTATGTTATTCTCGAAGCCATATGACAGTGCTAAAGAAGGACTAGTGCAGCCCCTTTCACATCAGCAAGGATTTTTAGACTGAACAGTGTAACAAAGTGATTAGGACTAAAACTCTAAAGTCAGATTGCTTGGGTTTGACTCCCAACTCTGCCAATCATTTCATCTGTATATGCCTCTGCTGTCCCATCTATAAAATAGGATAATAAAAGTATCTCCCTCATAGGGTTGTTGCACGGGTTCAGTGAGATAATACATGCAGAGCACTCAGAACATTTCAGACCCAGCTGTTCCCATGTTCCCCTTCCTCAATACATGTTCTTCCAAGACCTTCCTGGTAACATCACTGGATACTGACCCCATTTACTGTCCTGTAATTGGTTATCCGAGTGCCTTTAAAAGTGTTGTAAGCAATCCAAGGAAATGCCAATCTATGGGGCTTTGCTAATAAAATGCCCTGAACACAGCTGTCACATATTTCATCGCTGAATGGGGAGCAAAGACACATGGGCTGTCATCCTGGGCTGTGTGGGACCTTGGGGAAGGCAGTCCCCTCTCTGAGCTTACATCCTCATCTGTAAAATGAAGCAGCTGACTAGATGAGGTCACTCTCAGCTCAGGTACAAGAACAGAGGTTCTCAAAGTGTGGTCCGCGGACTAGCAGTACCAGCAACACTGGGAACTTGTTAGAAATGCAAATCCTCAGGCTCACCCTGACTTACTGAATCAGAAACTTAGGCGAGGAGGCCCAGGCATCTATGTTTACCAAGCCTCCAGATACTGCTGACGCATGCTACAGTTTGAGAACCACTGTACGAGAGCTATTAGCATTTTATATCAGTTACAGTTATTAGCATTTTATATCAGCCACTATTTATTGAGTGACTACCGTAAGTATCATGTTAGGAGAACTTGCTCACTTGTATCACTTGGTTCTTAGAACAACCCCGTAAAGTAGGTGTTATTAACCCTATAACACAGATGAAGAAATTAAGGCCAGCTGAGGTTATTAACTTTAGCTAGTAATTGTTAAAGCCAAAACTAGTTCAGATCTGGATGACTGTTAAGCCCACATCCTTCTCGTTGTGCCACGCTGCCTCAACAACAAGATAATTTCATTAATAATGATTATATTTAGATAATAGAACAATCCAAACCAATCCCCCTAAAGAATCCTACAGTCCTAACACCAGGCCTTACGGGATTAAGCTTGGTTTTCTCTCCCAGTCCTTGTTCTTCTGGTAACTTTGAATGCATCCAGTAGAATCGGAAATCAGTCTGCCACAGAGAAGGGAAATAGAAAGATGAAATGCTGCTCATTTCAAACTATAATATGAACAAAAACACCCCATTCTAAATAGCCACCTAATTTATAGAGACCTAAGCTCCTCTATCATTACCTCATTGTCCCTTCAAACACTGCCATAAGGTCAGGAAAATGTTTATAAAATCTTTGAAGATTTTTTCTTAAAACCCAATAAGATTTTTAATAGCAGTTGAGCCAACATATATTACTGATGGCCTACTTTGTGTCAGGCTCCATGCTAAGGACTTTATGCACATAATCTTATTAATCCTCAACCTCACTCTGAGAGTTGGATTGCCATTATTTCCATTCTATAGGTGAAGACTCTGAGGCTCACAGAGCTTATATCATTTCCCCATAGAAAATACAAGGTGACCCAGGACTCTAACTCCAAAGCACATTATGTTAACCTTTGTTTTATTTTATTGTTTTTTTTAAAGATTTTATTTATTTATTTGACAGAGAGAGACACAAAGCGAGAGGGAACACAAGCAGGGGGAGTGGGAGAGGGAGAAGCAGGCTTCCCGCGGAGCAGGGAGCCCGATGTGGGGCTCGATCCCAGGACCCTGGGATCATGACCTGAGCCGAAGGCAGATGCTTAATGACTGAGCCACCCAGGCGCCCCAACCTTTGTTTTATTTTAATTCTGAGGATAAGAAACTACTATATAGTTGTAACTTCTCATAAACTACTTTATTCTCTGAATTACTGATATGTACACTTCTGTAGCTATTAAGTGCCTTTTGTTTCTTGTACATTATTTTGCTTTTAAAAATAAAAAAAGTCTATTCTATATATTACAGAAACACAGGTAATTTTATTTATTTATTTTTAAAGATTTTATTTATTTACTTGAGAGAGAGAGAGCGTGTGTGCATAAGCAGGGGGAGGGGCAGAGGGAGAAGCAGACTCCTTGCCGAGCAGGGAGCCCGACCTGAGGCTCAATCCCAGGACTCCAGGATCATGACCTGAGCCGAAGGCAGATGCTTAACCCACTGAGCCACCCAGGCACCCCGAAATACAGGTAATTTTAGTATCCAAATTTACAAGTTGTGAATACATGTTATAAAACAACCTTCAGCAGAATTAAAGAAAAATATGTTCTAGATTGAATTTATGAGATCTGAGTTTTAGGTGTGGCTCTGCACTAGAGCAAGGTACTTACCATCTGTGGTTCTCAGCTTCCATACCTATATGAGGAATGACAGCAGTACTCACCTTATAGAGTTGTTGTAAGGGCTTCAGTGAGATAGTGCTCAGAAAGTGCTTGGCAATGCAAGTCTTAGCTATATTGTTAGAATGAGGCGTGTATTCGAATTCTGCAGCACCACCACCTAGCAGCATGCTTTGGAAAATCACGCTTCGGCTAATGGCTACGGAAAGAAGCAGCCTATAGTGACAACCCATGATTCTCACACTTGGGCCTGCATGAGGATCGCCTGGAGGCTTGTTAAAACATGAGTTGAGGGGCACCTGGGTGGCTCAGATGGTTAAACGTTTGCCTTCGGCTCAGGTCATGATCCCGGGGTCCTGGGATCGAGTCCCACATTGGGCTCCTGGCTCGGCGGGGAGCCTGCTTCTCCCTCTCCCTCTGCTTCTCCCGTGCTCATGCTCTCTCTCTCTCTCTGTATCTGTGTCTAAAATGAATAAATAAAATCTTTAAAAAAAACAAACAAACAAACATGAGTTGACCCCAGAGTTTCTCATTCAGTATGTCTGGGAATTTGCATTTCTAACCACTAGAAAACTGAGACAATGATGGGGGAGTGTGGGGAACAGAAGTGAAGTCTGAGGGGCTGACCCAACCTCACTCCAATGACTGCCACCGTCACTCATAGGAATCACCAATCTCAGAAAAACCTTGGGGGAAGGTGAAACTTGGGGGGAGAATATTGGGGCATCTCCTCACTCTCACTTGGAAAATCTCCTTCCAGAGCTGGCCCCTCAGAGATTTGCGCCATTGTGTCATACAAAGGAGGCCCTGCTGTTTTCAGGGTCAGGATGTGGTTGGTGAGGCAGCAGAGCTGGCTGGAGACTCTTCGGTGGTGACTTAATTCCACCTTCTCTTCCTTGTGCTGCCTGCACAAGGTGGCATCCCCGTTGCCCACAATCTCCCCTGCCAGCAATCCTCCCCCACTCTGGGGAGGCAGGGGGGCGGCGGCAGCTTCTACAAAGTCCTAGCCTACCCCTCTGCTCTGTTTCACTCTTTCCTCCCCTCAAGAATTGCTGTACTTCCCTTAGTTCCTCCTACTTCTTTTTTTTTTAAATGAAGCTAATTTAAACACATTCAAAGATGCAAGGAACATTAGATAATGTTCTTGATATACCACATCCTGTGCACACCAAGAAGCTGGTCACGTACCAAACCTACATGCTGAGCCGCTTTCCCGGGAGGAGAGGAGAAAACAGGAGAAGACATGAGGAGAGTATCAATCCTTACCTGGCAGTCATAAAAAGGGTGTCCCCGCCAGCACATCACGTCCAGAACATAGTAGGTCTGGTTCACCTCGCTGTAAATGCAGTCCAGAATGGTGTAGTCTGGGGATACAGAGCAGAAAGTCAGTACAGGGTACCCCTTCCAATCAGAGTTCATCAGGGAGAAAGTTCTTCATGGCCCTTTCTTGCTCCTGGTGCACGTAAGGGTGATGTGAGTAGGACAGCATGAGAGAGATCAAGGCAACCCTTAAGCCAGGTGGGAATTCTAAACTTTTAGATAACCTGGGACATTTACTCACCTTAGAAAAGCTCCAGTCCAAAAGCAAGTAATCCATTTTAATTTACATGCACTTTTCTTTTTTTAAAGATTTTATTTATTTATCTGACAGAGAGAGACACAGTGAGAGAGGGAACACAAGCAGGGGGAGTGGGAGAGGGAGAAACAGGCTTCCTGCAGAGTGGGGAGCCTGATACGGGGCTCGATCCCAGGACCCTGGGATCATGACCTGAGCCGAAGGCAGACGCCTAACGACTGAGCCACCCAGGCGCCCCTGACATGCACTTTTGAGTTCCTATCATAGGTGGTGTGCTCTGTGGGGAATATTAACCATAAACAGTCCCTGCCCTTAAGGAAGTGACAATCCAGTTAAGGAGATAAGATGATCAGAGAGAAAAGAACCAAGAGCTGAACTGTACAACACAAACTAAGAGCAACAGGAATTCCAGAAGAGGGAGACTGGCATAGCAGGAAATGCTTCACAGAAGAGATGGTACATGAACGTAGTCTTCTGGGATCAGAGGATTAAAACAACAGGGCAGAGGGGAGGTGGAATGGCATTTCAGGCCAGAATACTGATGTGGCATGAACAAAGGCCTACAGGTAGAACGAACGGGGCACACGTGGGCAACAAGCAGGCAAGCGAGCTGAATAGAGCTAGGAGTGGGTATAAGGAGTAGGGGAAAGACATGAGGATGGGTGAGTCAAAGTTCACGTGTGAAGCACTCTAAAAGCAAACAGAAAAGTCTAGGCTCAGTACCAAGCACACAAGGAACCACCAAGGGAGCCTGAGCAGGCAGGGAAGAGAACAGGGTTCAGGCCCAGCTCTGCCACTTCAATGAACGGCTGTTGGCAAGTGATTTAACCTCCATGATCTTAGTCTCCTCAGCTGAGCCTAGGTTGGAAGGAGAGGCTAAGGTTAGAACAACAATAAAGGAGAAAAGGGAATTTGGCAGGAAGCCCCAGCAACAGCTCACTGTACTTTACACTCGGCATTCTGAGGAACCTAGCCCCCCAAAACTGCACATGTCACCTTGTAATGGATGTCCACAGGGAAGGTGTGTTGACTTTAATTCAGGGATTTGTTCCCCAGCAGGCCTCATAGGGCTGCATCTATTCTGCAGCCGAGAAGGCCTGACCTTGAAGAAGATGGCCTGAATCCAGTGGACAGGACTTGCTTGACCTTGAAGGAGATGGCCCGAATCCAGACGTACAGTTTCAAAGGTATGCTTTCAAAGTGAGTCTTTAAAGCAAGTAACCAAGGACCTTCCACTGTCTTTTACTAATTATAAACTTAATAAATAGGGGCACCTGGCAGGCTCAGTTGGTAGAGCATGTGACTCTTGATCTAGGGGTGGTGAGTTTGAACCCCTGTTGAGTGTAAAGATTATGTAAAAATATATATATATTTCTAAACAAACAAACAAACAAACTTAATAAATAGATGATTTTATGTAGGTACCTTTTGCTGTTGTTGAGTTTCGCCTATTGCCTCCTGGCAGAAGGGAAGAAAACCTGTTGACACAGTAACCACTCTTGGTGTAGGCGCTGGTAGAACCCTGTGTGGAAAGTTACCATTCCCATTAGGCATCAAGGTCTCCTTACCCTTTTGCTTCCACAATCTGCAGAGGTGTCATCAGCCCAAAGATGGCTCTCAGCAAATCCCTCTGGAAGGAAAGCATTTCAACCCCCATGCCAGGCACAGCTGCTGCAGCAGCTATGGAACGCAAAGTGTGGGCAACCCTTCAGGCACCCTCCCTCCTCGGGAGCTCTGTACTAGCACTTTGCTGTCGCTCAATAAACCTTGCTTTGCTGCCCACTACTCTGTCTGGTCTACCTCTTCATTTTTCGAAGTGATGTGACCAAGAACCATGGGTACCGATGGAGAAAAAAATCCTGAAACATTTATGGGGGCTCGTCCGGGATCTCCACCACCGTTAAGGACAACTAACCAATAAAGGTCATCAAACTCCAAATGGTGGTTCAGATGGAGCCTCACATGGAGGTCAAACCAGACATCCACAGGGGACCTCTTGATAGATCAGGACGAGACGCCCCTGACCAGCAGAAGGTAGCTATGAACAGTCGTCATCCTTCTTCCCCAACAGCAGTTACGATTACCTCTTCAGAGGGGGGAATGATGAAGGAGAGTTGGAAGGCAGACAGGTAGGGACAAGGGGCCCCCGCCCTAAGAGAAACCACCCTTGAAAGGATCTTACACCACCCGGGAAGGAGCCCTCCAACCTTTCCCATGTGATAGGTAGATGACAAAAACCTGATTGGATGACAGGCGCAGGAAGGGTTCATCAGATGAAAACAGCCCACTAACAAGCCCATAAAACCCCCTAGACTTAGAAACTACAGTGGCAACCCTCTCGGGTCCCCTTCCTCCTTGGGAGCTTTGTACTATCACTTTGCTATCGCTCAATAAACCTCGCTTTGCTGCCCACCAAAAAAAAAAAAGGAACACAAAGTGCAAAGAATTCCTCCTGCTATAGACCAGCATGCTGGGATAGGGAGGAGGAAGCGACTCACCCTGGAGGCCACAATCAGGGCTCTTTTTCCAACAGGGCACACGACCACAATCCATTCCTGCCCCAAATCTGAAGGGACGTCAATTAACCACTCAGACAGCATCAACTGGGAACACAAAAAAAATGGCATTAAAAATCAACAGGGGTGGGGGCTGCCCAGCTTGATCAGTTGGTAGAGCATGCAACTCTTGATCTCTCAGGGTTGTGAATTCAAGCCCCACTTGGGTGGAGAGATTACTTAGAAAAATGAAATATTAAAAAAAACCAACAGGGGAGTGCTGCTGCAATGTCTGCAGTGACAAAGAATTCACATCCTATATATATATATATATATATATATAATGAAAATACATATAAGGCTGATGGTAGACCTCTGCCCACTTGCTCTTAGTCGACTTGTCTCAGCTGACAGAATGGAGGCCGCTCACTGTGAGTTTCAACTTCTCTCCTCGTCTTCATTTCCTGAATCCATAGTACATTCTTTCTACCTCGCCCCCTGTGTCTGGGTGACGGGACCTCCTTCCTCCTCTTACTTTGTCCATCCACCTGCTGTTCTCATAACTATTACGTTCCAGGGGCTATACCTCAGAGATGAATAAGGTCCCTGACCTTGAGATGCTCTTAATCTAGATCATCATTTCCCAAACTGGTGACCCCAAATACTGTACAAAGGATGTTAGGAAATCTGCCTCAAGAAAGGGGGGGGTGAAGAATGAAATCTTGCGGGGCACCTGGGTGGTTCAGTTGGTTAAGTGACTGCCTCCGGCTCAGGTCATGATCCTGGAGTCCCGGGATCGAGCCCCGCGTGGGGCTTCCTGCTCAGCAAGGAGTCTGCTTCTCCCTCTGCCCCTCTCTCATGCTCTCTCTCATTCTCTCTCTCTCTCAAATAAATAAAATCTTAAAAAAAAATGAAGTCTTGCCATTTGCAATGACGTGGATGGAGCTAGAGTGTATTATGCTATGTGAAATAAATCAGTTAGAGAAAGACAAATACCATATGATCTCACTCCTATGTGGAATTTAAGAAAGAAAACAGATGAACATATGTGAAGGGGGAAAAGAAAAAAAGGAGAGAGGGAAATAAGCCATAAGTGACTCTTAATGATAGAGAACCAACTGAGGGGTGACGGAGGGAGGTGGGTAGGGGATGGGCTAGATGGCTGATGGGTATTAAGGAAGGCACTTGTGATGAGCACTGGGTACTGTATGGAAGTGACGAATCACTGAATTCTACTCCAGAAACCAATATTGCACTGTATGGTAACTAACAAAATTTAAACTAAAAAAAAAAGGGGGGTGGTGGTGGTGGTGGTGGTGAAATGAATTTTGCAAAGAATAACTCTTCCACTCTTGGCTCACAATTCCTCCCATTACACAGAGACTGGCCTATCAACGAATCGCCCCCACAGAATCTTTCATCTCTCCTTCCCCTTGGCCCACAAAATGCTCACGCCCTAATCTTCAAAAACAAAACAAAAATGAAAACCTTTTATCACTCTGCATTTCTGTTAAAGTATCCCACTTCATCCTTCTTAAGACGACTTCATATTTCTAGATGCTGCCCTCCCACCCACTCTGACACCCTCCGTCCAGATTTGCTAGCCCGCAGCCCGGTCAGAGGCCGTCAGGGACCTGCTCGCTGCCACGTGTCTCTGCTCCCTCTCCTCCCCCTTATGCCCCTGGCTCCACTGCTCACGTCACCACCTCCTCATCCTCGACACATGTTCCCTTGGCCATGTGAGCCAGTGCTATTCTTTTTTTTCCTCCAAACGCTCCTCCACACACTCCCCCAAAACATGTAGAGAATCTTCAGGAGGCTGTCTTAGGTTCCCCTTTTCTTTTCTCTCAGAGGCTGTCTGCTCGGGGCTAGGTCGCAACTACTTCTGCAGCTTCACCTGCCACTTCTGACAGGACACCCCCCAATTCTCCTTCTGTTTCTTTTCTGTCCTTGCTTTTGTTTTCTTAAGTAAGCTCTACACCCAACACGGGGCACAAACTCACAACCCCGAGATCAAGAGTCACATGCTTCACTGACTGAGCCAGCCAGGTGCCCCAATTCTTCTGCCTTTTCATGTCCAGACTGCTTTCCTTTTCTCCAGACCTATATTTCCAGCCATCCATGTGGTATCTCTTTCTCTGCTTGCTCCCTCTGTACCTTAAACTCAGGGTCCCCAAAACAGGATTCATGGTCTTTGGTCGCGCAAGTAGCTTCCATCCCTGAAACCCCCCTACTTCCCCTCTGCATCCTGTAGCCCTGTTAATGGCAACACCATTCTCTGTTACCCAATCTTAAACCAAGCATAATCAACACATCCTTAAAGAATGGTAGTGTTACAACACCAAAAGCACAAGTGACAACACAAAGGATAAATAAGACTACGTCAAAATTTAAAACTTTACTGCTGCCTGTAATACCATCAAGAAAGTAAAACGACAACCCACAGAATGGGAGAAAGTATTGCAAATTATGTATCTGATAAGAGATTGTTATGTTTTTTTTTTTAAGATTTTATTTATTTATTTGACAGGGAGAGAGAGAGAGCGAGGAGCACAAGCAGAGGGAGCGAAAGGCAGAGGGAGAGGGAGAAGCAGGCTCCGCACTGAGCAGGGAGCCCGATGGGGGCTTGATCCGAGGCCCTGGGGATCATGACCTTAGCTGAAGGCAGATGCTTAACCGACTGAGCCCCTTAGGTGCCCCCTGATAAGAGACTTGTATCTAGAATATATAAAGAACTCTTACCACTTAATAATAAAAGACAACCCAATTAAATGGGCATAGAGGGGTGCCTGAGTGGCTCAGTCAGTTAAGCATCTGACTCTTGATTTTGGCTCAGGTCATAATCAGGGTCGTGAGATTGAGCCCTTGTCAGGCTCTGTGCTGGGCGTGGAGCCTGCTTGAGATTTTCTCTCTCCCTCTCCTTCTGCCCCTCCTCTTTCTCTCTTTCTTTCTCTCTCTGTCTCTCTCTCTCTCCCCCTCTAAAAGAAAAAAATGGGCATAGACATTTCTCCAAAGAAGATATACAAATGGTTAATAAGCACATAAAAAGATGCTCGATATCATCAGTCCTTAAGGAAATGCAAATCAAAACCATGAGACACCACTTCATACCCTCTAGGATGGCTATACTCAAAAGGATGGACAATAAAAAGCATTGGCAAAGATGTGGAGACATTGGAGCCCTCATACACTGCTGGTGGGAATGTAAAATGCTCTAGTCACTTTGGAAAACAGTCTGGTAGCTCCTCAAAACGTCAAACATAGAATGATCTAGTAATTCCATTCCCAGGTATATACCAAAGAGAAATAAAAACATATCCATGCAAAAACTTGTTCGTGACTATGCACAGCAGCATTATTATTCACAACAGCCAGAAAGTGGGAGCAACTCAAATGCCACCACCTGATGGGTAGACCAGCCAAATGCCGGGTATCTGGACAACAGAACATTGTCTGGGAATAAAAAGAAATGAAGTTCTAATGCACACTCCAACACAGATGAACTTAAAAAACCTTATGCTAAGTGAAAGAAACCAGACACAAAGAGCACATCTCATATGATTCCACTTATAGCACATGTCCAGAAGAGGCGAATCCAGAGAGACAGAAAGTAGATTACTGACTGTTAAGGGCTGGGGGAAAGGAAGAATGGGAGTTGACTACTGATGGGTATGAGGGTCCTTTTGGGGGTGATGAAAATGTTCTGGAATTAGAGAGTGGTAATGGCTGCACAGCCCTGTGACTATACTAAAAAACACTGAATTGTATCCTGTAAATGTGTGAATTGTATGGTATGTGAATTTATCTCAACACGGCTGTTTAAAAAAATAGTAGCTAATATTTGTGGGACATCTATTATGGGCTCTGTGCTAGGTATTTAGGGTACATTATCTGCTTCAATCCTTTTAACAATCCTGTGAAATAGTACTGTAACTATCCCCATTCTACAGATAAGAAACCAGAGACTTAGAGCAGTTAAATAACCTGCTCAAGGTCAACAAAGAGCCTGACTTTGAGGTCAGGTCGATGTGACTTCAGAGCTTAAACAATTAACCACTTCTCACACTGCCTCTTCTATCCGGTCCACTGTTAAATTCTGTCCATTCATCGTGGCGACACTTCTCACACTCATGACCTCATTTCCTTCGCACCCTCACTGCCCTCAGCACCAGCAGCAGAGTGTTTTAGCAAAGCTAAGCTCCCTACTCCAGCCTCTCTCTTCCAGGTCCTTCTATACATGGACGTGCATGCCATACAAAGTCCCAACTCTATCCCTGGCTCAAAAATTCTCGGTGGTTCCCCACAATCTAAAATATAGTCTACATACCCGCAGATGTTTCTGCTGTATTCCTCCTCCCAGCCCTATGCTGCTCCATCCTCACTGGCCTGCACACTGCTCTCAGCACACCATAGGGCTCTTGCTCTGCCTCTTCCTGCTGCCTGGAAGGCCCTGGAGTGCTCTGCACGTCTGCCTGTCAATGTCCTACCTCCTCCTGGGGCGCCTGGGTGGCTCAGTGGGTTAAGTGGCTGCCTTTGGCTCAGGTCATGATTCCGGGGTCCTGGGGTGAGCCCTGCCCCTGAGTCGGGCTTCCCTGCTCAGCAGGGAGTCTGCTTCTCCCTCTGCCCCTCCACCAGCTCATGCACATACTCTCTCCCTCTCGCAAATAAATAAATAAAAACTTTAAAAAAGAAACAAGCTGCCTCCTCTTTCATTAACCTTTTCCTGATTTCACAATCCTACTTCCTTCCTCGCTATTAGCTAATCTCACTTTCTTATAGCAAAAACCATCATCTCCAACTATTCCAGGAGTACAAGGGCCATTTCTGACCCTTGTCCATCTTCCCACACATAGCTTAGCTTACTACAGAGCAGGGTCTTCAACAACGCTTGCTGAACAGGACTGACCTGCACTTTGTCATAGAAGGTGTTATCTGTGCTGTACTGGGGGCACAGAAAGAAGATGGGAGTGTGTATACCCAGAAACCATATATTTTTTTAAGATTTTATTTATTTATTTGGCAGAGAGAGAGAGAACAAGTAGGGGGAGCAGAAGGCAGAGGGAGAGGGAGAAGCAGGCTCCCTGCTGAGCAGAGAGCCTGATGCAGAGCTTGATCCCAGGACCCTGGGATCATGACGTGAGCTGAAGGCAGACGCTTAACCGACTGAGCCACCCAGGCGCCCCCAGAAACCATATCCTAAGGTGGGACAGGATTCTGAAGTGACAAGACACTTGGGTTATAGAGAGAATATAATAGCCAGGTAGAGCCCTCGACCCACTTGGACCCATACACTGCCTCTGGAATACCTGGACTGCCTGAAGCACTGACAGTCTTCATGCCTGCTTCCCCTATAGCTCCACAAACCACACTGGTTTCTTTCTGCAACCAATAGGCCACTTAGTCGTTTGTCATAGTCATCTGTTGTTTCATGGCCTCAACCGCATGTAGGCCAATGAATGGGCTGGCCTGGCATTGCTGGCCAGGCACCCCATATTCAAGGGCAGCTGTTCTGCCCACCTTCCACCATCTGAATGTGAAGATCCAAGGCTGACATGTTAGTCTACTGCTCAGGAAAGACTACTAACCTAGGAGGTAGGGTGGGGGCAGTGCTAGCCTGGGCAGGCCCAATCTAGAGTTGCCCTACAATGACCACCAAGAAATGACAAGTGCAGGGACTCTTGTAGTGTAGCAATAGCTCAGGGGCTTTCTGCAGAAGGCTGGTGACCTTTGGTTATAGTATGGGGTAAAGGTTCTCAAACCCAGCACCCACAGCCTCCCTCAGTGACGCCCCCTTCAGCACATGACACCGTAAGCCATTTCTTCTCTAAGTCCATACACTTTATGCATGTAAAGCAGCTTCTTTGAAGTCCCCCATTCCTTCCTCCTGCCTCCGCTCTTTACGGCAACATTTACTTCAGTGGGGCTGGACCTGGGCCTCACCTTCCCTGGACTACTCACTTGATTAGCATAGCGTTTTGGTAACTTCTTGCCAGTGTCAACGTCCATCTCTTCATCATCTTTCTTATCTTCCTCTTCCTCACTCTCCATTCCTGTCCAGTCATCTTCAGCCAGTCTTCTGGCATGATTCACGTAATCCAGCCGCTTGCTGGAGAAAAGAAGGCACAAGGACAGGATTTTATGTCTCCTAGGAAGACACCCTACAATGTGACAAGTTTACTTTTAACTCAGATGCTTCAAATTCAGGAGCACCTTGGGGATTCTAGTGGAAGAGATGGTAGAATTTCCTATGTTAAGGCTAACCTAGTGATGGCCCCCTCACTGGTCCTAGGTAGGAAGCCTCCTCTGAACACACTTGGCCTTCCTCAGTTTCCTAAAAACAGGCAGAGTAACATATTGAAAGGAATCTTCAAGGTTCACTAGCTGGAAAGGCTGACCCCGCTCCTGCCCACCCCATTCCAGATTCGCATCTCTACCCCCCCTTAGAGCTGACACTTTCCTGCCGGGCAGGCATCTCATCCAAAGGCCCCCAGTGATTGAAGAGAGGAATCACTGAGATGTGGTGAGGAGTTTAAAACAAGAACCACTTCTGGGACTTTCCAATTTATATAGCTTTCTTTTTTAGTTTTTATTTTTAAAAATATTTAATTAATTAATTTATTTGACAGAGAGAGAGAGAGAGCACAAGCAGGGGGAGCAGCAGATGGACAGCGAGAGAAGCAGGCTCTCTGCTGAGCAGGGAACCTGATGTGGGGCTTGATCCCAGGATCCTGAGATCATGACCTGAGCAGAATGCAGACACTTAACCGACTGAGCCACCCAGGCACCCCTCTTTCTTTATTTTTTTAAAGATGTATTTATTTATTTGAGAGAAAGAGAGAGAGCATGTTTGGGCATGTGGGGGTGGGAGGGGCAGAGGAAGAGAGAATCTCAAGAAGACTCCCCACTGAGCGCAGAGCCCAACCCTTAGATCATGACCGGAGCCGAAATCAAGAGTGGGATGCTTAACTGCCTGAGTCACCCAGGTGCCCCTAATTTATACAGCTTTCTGAGGAGCATCCAGGCCTTCTTCCATTTCTTTTTTCTTTCTTTTTTTTTTTTTTTTTAAGATTTTCTTTATTTGGGGCACCTGGGTGGCTCAGTCGGTTAAGCATCTGCCTTCAGCTCAGGTCATGATCTCAGGGTCCTGGTATCAAGCCCCAAGTTGGGCTCTCTCCTAAGCAGGGAGTCTGCTTCTCCTTCTCCCTCTGTGCTCTCCTTCTCTCTCAAATAAATAAATAAAATCTTTGAAAAATTTTTTTATTTATTCGAGAGAGTGAAAGCTGGAACGAGTGGGGGAGGAACCCCCAGGCGCCCCTCAATTTAATATATCTTTTTACTTATTTCCCTTTATTTTTACCCTCATTAAAAAAAATACATATTCTAGAAAGCTTGGGCAATTGATTAAAAAAGAATAAGAACTGGGGTGCTTGGGTGGCTTCGTTGGTTGAGCGTCTGACTCTTGGTTTCGGCTCAGGTTGTGGTCTTGAGGTCGTTGGACTGAGTGCTCAACATGGAGTCTGGTTTGAGATTCTCTCTCTCCCTCTCCCTCCCACTCCATCCTCCCCAAGCTCATGCTCTCTCTCATAAAGAAGTAAAATCTTAAAAAAAAAATAAAAAAGAAAGAATAAGAACTGTTTGGAATCTGATTGTTCCAAAGTGATTTGTAGATACCATGTAACCTCCTGCACTTGGTTTCCTCAATGCTAAAGCAAGATCCACCACTGAGGCAATGAGACCAGCTCAGTGGTTTCCTCTCAAACACACACACGAGTTCATGCACATTCCCATGAAGGTGCACACCACGGAGAGCACATGCGAGCACAATGGTCTTTTATTTCAAGAATAAGGAGAGCTGGTATACTGTACATGTGCACAGGATGCATATCCATGGTTCTTTCCCATGTACTGTTTGTAATCACAAGAGAAGAAACTACCCAGATGCCCATCAGTAGGGGATTGGTTAGATTACATTATAAAATATCCATTCAATAGAATACCTGGTACCATAATAAAGGAATGAGATGGTACTGATATAGAATCTCTCCAAAAACTGCTTTTAAATAAAATGTGCAGAACAGTGTGTGTACACTAATTGTTTAAAAAAATGGTATATATACATACAACCACACACTTGCTCATATCTGCACAGAATATCTTTGGAAAGATACAAAAGAAACTATAATATCGGAGAAGAACTGAAAGACCAGAGGACAGAATTGAGAGGGAGACTTTATTTTCTTTAAAAAAAATTTTTTTTTTTAGTATAGCTGACACACAATGTTACATTAGTTTCAGGTGAACATACACTGATGCAACTTCTCTATGTTATCCTGTGCTCACCACAAGTGTAGCTACTACAACACTATTAAATATCATTGACTGTATTCCCCACACTGTGCCTTTTATTCCCGTGACTCATTCATTCCATAACTAGAGGCCTGCATCTCCCACTCCCCTTCGCCCATTTTGCCCATTATCCTACCCCCTCCCCTCTGGCAACCACCAATTTGTTCTCTGTATTTATGGTCCGATTCTACTTTTTGTTTGTTTATTTATTTATTATTCAGAGTCCACATATGAGTGAAATCATGGTATTTCTTTTTCAGTCTGACTTATTTCACTTAGCATCATACTGGGATGGAGACTTTTCACCATATATTCTTACAAATTTTGAATTTTGCATGTGAATACATACAATTAACGTGTTACCTATTTCAAAATAACTTTTAAACAACAGAGGTGGGGGTGTGGAGCGGGGGAGGTGATCTGAGAATGTAATCTGCAAGCAACCCAGAGGCCACAGGGAACCATTTCTGCTAAACACATCCAATGATGCAGCACTGGGCAGAATGCAGACCATAGAGAAACTGTGTAGCTGTTAATAGTTCCTTTGAATCCTCAATTCCTATGACCAAGAGGAGGCCCATGTTGTACTCAGGATAAATGGACAGGCCCTGCCTTCAGAGCAGCCCAGCCTCAAACACTCCTATCCTGCTCTCTCCCCCTGCTTGCTCATCTTGGCATTGAGAATTCAGTGTATGGAAGACATTTCCTCAGATTCCCTGCGGAATTATTTGTATTGAGCTCTCAAGGGCTCCACAGAAACATTTGGGCTGAAGGCAGACAGGAAGACCACACCAATGCCAGCATTCAGAGTGCAGAAGCCACACAGGGAATGTGGGGAGTGGAAGTCTGGGCGTGGCTTTCACAAGTCCCTAAATCGCAAAGCTCAGTACTGCTGCCAGGAAAATAAGAAAAATTTAACCAAATAACAGCTTTTGCTTTCAAACTTCAGTCTCTCCCTACGTTTCCATCTTTTCCTAAGCTTTCAGTGTAAAGGACGTCTACCTCTGCCAGGATTTACCCCTCCCAATCCCATGGGCAAGATGTACCTATAAAAGGGTCTACTTTGAGGAGACAGACCTAGAGCCTCCTGATTTGTTCACAGCTCCCAGCCTGAAGAAAGAGACCAAAGAGTTAAATCATCCCTTACGATTTCTGCAGTTCCAATAACCGGCGGCGTCGCTCACTCTGCTCCAAGGAACTGTGCTTGGACTTGTACTGGGACAGGCGGGGGTGTGGGGCAGCTGTGCTGTTCAGATCTTGAGACACAGAAAAGCTACTAGCCAGGGCTTGACTCAGCTCTTCCATCTTCCCTACAAAGGAAAACATAAGAAAACAGTTCATTGATTTCATATCACCTCCTGTGTACAGGCAGTTATGATGTAACATGATGGCTACATTCCTAACAAAAACTCACTTAATCCAAAATCACAACTGTTTCTATGGGGAAAAAGGAAGTTAAAGGTAAATGAGTTATATATGAGCAACAGCATTATTTCCTGCAGATATTTTAATAATGATCATCTTAAGAGCTCTCAGTGAACAGATATAAATGTACACATCGAACACTAAGCAAGTTCACCCTGTGACTGAATCTAACTTTTGCTCTGTCATTCATTACCAGCAGCCCTGTCACTAATTCATTTTTACCATCATTAACATCTAATGATGTGATCAAGTGCCTAATTTTTTCCTGAATAGTCCTAAATAGCCATTACTCAATAATATAACTTATTTCTTTAATGCATACATTTTATTTTATTTTTTTAAAGGGTTTTATTTATTTATTTGTTAGAGAGGAAGAGAGAGCGAGCAAGCACAAGCAGAGGGAGAGGAAGGCAGAGGGAGAAGCAGGCTCCCCACTGACCAAGGAGCCCATTGGGGGACTCGATCCCAAGACCCTGGGATCATGACCTGAGCCAAAGGCAGACACCTAACTGACTGAGCCACCCAGGCATCCCTTATCTTCTTTTCTTTTTAAGATTTTATTTATTTATTTGTTAGAGAAGGAGCGAGAGAGAGTATAAGCCGAGGGAGGGGCCGGCAGAGGGAGAAACAGGCTCCTTATTTTATTTTTTAAATTATTTTATTTATTTATTTATTTATTATTTTTTTAAAAAGATTTTATTTATTTATTTGACATAGTGAGACACAGCGAGAGAGAGAACCCAGGCAGGGGGAGTGGGAGAGGGAGAAGCAGGCTTCCCACGGAGCAGGGAGCCTGATGCAGGGCTCGATCCCAGGACCCTGAGATCATGACCTGAGCCGAAGGCAGACGCTTAACGACTGAGCCACCCAGGCGCCCCTTAATTATTTTTTTTATTAAAGATTTTATTTATTTATTTATGTGAGAGAGAGAATGAGAGATAGAGAGCATGAGAGGGAAGAGGGTCAGAGGGAGAAGCAGACTCCCTGCTGAGCAGGGAGCCCGATGTGGGACTCGATCCCGGGACTCCAGGATCATGACCTGAGCCAAAGGTGGTCGCTTAACCAACTGAGCCACCCAGGCGCCCCTCCTTATTTTATTTTTTAAAAGATTTTATGTATGGGCGCCCGGGTGGCTCAGTCGTTGGGCGTCTGCCTTCGGCTCGGGTCATGATCTCGGGGTCCTGGGATTGAGCCCCACATCGGGCTCCCTGCTCTGCGGGGGGCCTGCTTCTCCCTCTCCCACTCCCCCTGCTTGTGTTCCCTCTCTCGCTGTGTCTCTCTCTGTCAAATAAATAAATAAAACTTTTAAAAAATAAAGATTTTATGTACTTGATAGAGAGAGAACACAAGTATGGGGAGTGGCAGGCAGAGAGAGAGGGAGAGCGAGAAGCAGGCTTCCTGCTGAGCAGGGACCCTAATATGGGGCTAGATCCCAGGACCCTGGGATCATGACCTGAGCTGAAGGCAGACGCTCAACTGAGCCACCCAGGTGCCTGTATTTTATTTTTTAAAACTCTGTACCTAATGTGGGGCTTGAACTCACAACCCTGAGATCAAGAGTCACATGCTCCACCAGCTGAGCCGTCCAGGTGGCCCTCTAATATAACTTTCTGATGCAAATTTTATCCAACTGTTGTTTGACTCTCTAATAAAAACCAACTTACAGTAAGAAAATTTAGCTGGTCCTGGGACCCCAGAGCAAGACAGGGGGAGCCCAAAACCCAAACCTGGCAGTTGCTTTTTCGTTTTATAGTTTGTTTTATTTGTTTGGGGTGGACAAAAGGAAGGTTTCAGGGCTATCCATGCAGGACTCACTTGGAAAAGAGCTAGAATGTAGAAGGCTGCCTACCAGTTAACACAAAGGAGTGTGAAAGACTGACCTGTGGTACATTTGGGAAATGGAGTAGACTGGAGACAGAGTACCCAGGTGTGCCCTAAAGAATGAGAATGGAGAGAAAAAGGTGAATTCACACTTCACTCAGCCTCCTGTGAATGAAGGTACGAAGTGGTATAGGAGCTTAGCTAAGGGTTAAAGGTGTGCCTCAGAGTGTAAGAAAGAGGAACGAATGGGAGAAATCCGACTGGCAAAGCCAGGTCTAGAATAACACTTCAGGTCTAGAATAAACCAGAGGGCACCACCAAGGCTTAAACTCCACCTCAGGCCGGGTCCCCCTGCTTTGAGCACCAAAACCAACAGGTTCATTCCAGAGCCTCCATAGCTAAAAACAATTCTATGGGCCTCTCCTTGGCAATGAGTTACTTTCCATTGCACATTTGAAGTCAGATTTCCCCCCTAATTTGCAGCATTTTTTTTTAATTTGAAAGGAACTTTAAAAAAATTGTGGTTAAAACCCATGACATAAAATTTACCATCTTAACCATTTTTTTTTAAAGATTTTATTTATTTATTTGAGAGAGAGAGAATGAGAGATAGAGAGCACGAGAGGGAAGAGGGTCAGAGGGAGAAGCAGACTCCCTGCTGAGCAGGGAGCCCGATGTGGGACTCGATCCCTGGACTCCAGAATCATGACCTGAGCCGAAGGCAGTCGCTTAACCAACTGAGCCACCCAGGCGCCCCCCATCTTAACCATTTTTAAGTTACAGTTCAGTAGTTGCTGTGCAACCAATTTCCGGAACTCTTCTCATCTTGCAAAACTGAACCTCTATACCCATTAAAATGAAAGGAACTTTTTTTCTTTTAAAGATTTTATTTATTTATTTGACAGAGAGAGAGATAGTGAGAGCAGGAACACAAGCAGGGGAAGTGGGAGAGGGAGAAGCAAGCTTCCCGCGGAGCAGGGAGCTGATGCGGGGCTCTATCCCAGGACCCTGGGACCATGACCTGAGCCGAAGGCAGACGCCTAACGACTGAGCCACCCAGGCGCCCCAAAAGGAACTTTTTTTTTAAACTTAAGGTTGACATATTATCGGTATGGATTTGAGGCGAATCTTAACATATTTGTAACGCAACCAGGGTGGCCATTTGTGAGTGAGGCTGGGTGATGAGTATTTGGGATCCATAATGGTATGCTATTTCCCGTGTTTTACTGACTTTTGTATACGTCTAAACACTTCCATAATACACTCTTTTAAAAAAAATTAATTATGTCTTCGGCTTACCAAAGTAATGCCCTCAAATAAAATACACTTATTAGGTCGTATCACGCTTTATCTCGGTGTGGCCTCCCGTTCTGCCAAGAATCACAAAATCATTAAACACGCCTTGGATACTGGGGCGGCCCTCTGTACCTTTACGGCTGTTCTTGGCTGGCTCCTGCGCTTTTAATCAATTCCTCGGATGGTCCTGCTTGCAAGGGTTCTGACCTTATCCTGGGTGGTCTCGTCCAGACCCACGCGCGTCCCCTGACGCCTCTGCCGCCGCCTCCTCCTCCTCCCACCCCTCAGTCCGGGATCGAGGCCTCCTCTGAGGCTTCCACCGGGCTTCAGCCTCCTGGCCTCTACCTGCTCCACTCGGTCGTCCTCCCCGCCACAGCGCCGCATTACCTTTCTCTAGGGACGAGGTCCCGTAGGCCACTCATGATTCGCCCCTCCCCCACAAAGACTACCTGAGGGGTCCTGGCCCGATAGTCTGGATCAGAAAAGCCGGCTGGATCAGTGCTAGCCGGCCGGATGGAGTCACAGCCGGGCGCCGAGGAGCAATTCGGGAGCCAGCAGGGCCCAGGCTCGAACCCAGGACTTACCGGCGGAGATGACAGTTCCAGGAGCCGCGGCCGCTCGGCCGGGGGCCGACCAATCAGTGGCCCAGGGAGAGCCGGGCCCGCCCCCTGGGCCGCAGCCGCGCCGCCGGGCCCACCCGCCAAGCGCCCGGAGTTTCCGGTTCCGCCCACCGTCGTGAATGCCGGTAGCGCAGTCGCTGTCCGGTAGTTCGCGGGCCGTTATTTCCGCCTTCTAGGGCTGGTGTTTTATCCGTCGGTCGGAGCAGGGGTCCTGGCTCTTGTGATGCACATCCGGAACCATTCCTGCAAGGTGACTTGGCCTCACCGAGGCTTCATTCCTGAGCACAAGCTCCTCCGGGCTCCTTTTGCCAGTGGGAGGAACCCCGATCTCGGGGCCGAGCATTCAAAGCCCTCCGGGCCGCGGGTCCTGAAGCTTGCGCCAGATCCACCCGGGCTTTAGGGGTACACCAGCCGTCTGCTCCCTCTCCTGTGCTTGTGCTTTTTGTACGGACAGTGCCAGTTACCTGAATGACATCCCCTCTCCATCGACTCGTCGCACCCCTAAGTCTCAATTAGACATTCCCGCCACATTCGCTCTGACTACACTGGCGACATACCTCGATTACAGCCCATTTGCTCCGTTTGGGAGTCTCTTACTCGGCTGTGGGCTTGGCAATGGCGGGGACCTGGCTTGATTCCTGCTTACGTAGGCAGCGTCCAGCACAAAACATGGCACTCAGTAGATCTTGGTAAAGAAATGACTGAATAACTGCAAGGGGTCGAGGGGAAGCAGCCGAGATTTAGTTTGGAGAGCTAATGAAATTAGAGTGCAGCCTCTTCGACGGAGGGGACTGATGAGATGCAAACTAAAAATATGACAGCCATTTATTGAATGCCAGACACAGCTTCACATGCATTCTCCTTTAATCTTCAAATAACACAAGGAAGTAGACTGAAGCTCAGAGAGGGTAAGTACTTGGCCAAAGTCACACAGCTTTTAAGCCAAACATTTGAATTTGCTGAATGTTTGACTTAGAAATTGGATATTAGTATACTACAGAAAATACACAAAGCTGGCACATTTTGAGTCCAGGGAATGCCAAGATGTATACTTGCTGCATATTTTAAATACCTAACACCATCCATTTGGACTAAAAAGAACAGGAGATCCGACTGACACAGGGTAAAGGGTGTTTAGGGCCCTGGAAGACCCAATTTTTTGGATCTCAGAATTTATGTAGCTGAGTTCTGTCTTTCAATAGTGGGGCTGAGCAAAGCTGTGCACTAGGTTATTTATTTGGTGCATCCACAAATAATAGCTCATGTTTGCCTGGTTTATATGACGGACAAAGAAAAGCCCAGGGCCTGACTTCACTAGGGAACTTTGACATCAGGATATTAAGTATTTTGTGTTCTGGATCCACCATTCTCTACTCATGACCATGGTGGTCATACCAAGTGGTCAGAACTGCACAGAAAAGAACAGAGGCCCTACACATTAAAACAAAATAGACTGAGATTGACAAAGAGGTCCCCCAAATTCATGCACTGAGGTCCAGGGAAAAAGTTCATTCATACTCAGCTGAAAACTTCTCATATCACTGAACAAACTAAATGGCACTTGGCCCAGGGGCTCATTTGGAGCCAGTCTGTGTTCCAGAAGGGCCTGCTCTGCCTGGAACAGTGAGAGGTCCCCCAACTATCACCAATGGCACCCCACCTTCACAATACTGGCCACAGACACATACACCTGTGTTTGAAGTCTTTAAATCAATTTGCTATTTAAAAAAAACCTAAATACATTTATTTAAAAGAGGTACGCCATAGCATTACCTTAAATCACTTCCCACTTTAACAAAGTATCTATAAAATATATACACAGTGAAAATAGTATAATGTTATAATCTAGCTAAATATCAGTATGTGCAGAAAACTGTGAAACTGAGGACTTTGTAAGAATCTGAGATTAGCAAGTGTTAGAGAAGTGATGAGTAACACTAACAGAATTTTTCTCTTGTATAATCAGGAAAATTCAAAGAGAACGGAAGAGGGAAGTTCCCCTTTCTCCATGATTCAATGTTATTTAAGGTGGAATCTGTGCACCCCCTAAAATCATCTGGTAAGTGCCCACTGGTGGGAGAATCCCAACCTAAAAAAGAGGACCTCAAGAGCAGGAAGGTTGCCAGCCATTTCCAAAAGAAGAGGCTCTCAGGAGGACCCCCGAGTGTCACTCTGTCATCGGTCAATTAACAGATATGTGTTTAATGTCTGCTGTTGGTTAGGTACTGAGCCAAGCACAGGAAATACCAAAATGACCAAGACTGACCTAGTCCCCACCCTCCAGGACCTTACAGCCCAGTTGTGTGGTAGAGAAAGCCAAGAGATAGGTGCTATAGGTGGGTGCAGACCAGTGTTAAGGAGCTCAGGTGGCTGGGTTGAGAGGGAGTGGGTGGGGCTGCTGGGGCCAGTATTCAGGGAACTTTTCTCAGGAGGTGACATTTGCGTCAAGACCTGAATAATGGAAAGGAGCCATCCCTGAGGACAGGGAGATTGAATGCATTTCCAGAGAGGCTTTGTGTGAGGGGGTGGACAGGAGGCCTAGGAGGAAGGGGAGGCAGTGGGGAGATGAGGTCACAGAGGCAGGTGGGATGCAGAAGCCTGTAGGCCATAGCCAGGAGTTTGGATTTTATCTGCATTGCAGATGGCGGTTTTTAAAGTTATGAGATAACGAAATGTGAGCTTGAAAGAGCTCATCCTGGCTACTCAATGGAGAACTGAAGTCCCCTTGGTGATCAGGAGGCCAGTGAGCGGGGCTTGCACTCAAGTTGTGGCAGGAGGGCTGCCTTTGGGATATATCCAGAAAAAAACCTGAGAGGGCTTACTGTTCTCAAAGTGGGGGAGGAGGTAGCAAGAGTTATACAGCCAAGACCTTCCCCTGACATTACTGAAACTGAACGAGAATTGAAAAGGGAACAGCTTTCTCCCCGTGTAATTTGATATGATTTAAGGCCTAGGCCCTGTACCATCTAAGCCATCTTGAGGACCAGTGCTTCTCACCGCCCACTTGGTGACCATGTAAGAGAGGCTTTCTTCAGCCAGTTGTGGGAGGAGGGAGACTCTGACATGAGAGGGTGGCAAAGTCATGTATTAACAGGTGTTGTGTGAACCAGGTGCAGAAACTGCAGGCACAGGAGACCCTAAAGCTCAGAGGGGCCAAGCCTCTTCTCCCCCACTCCACAAGTTCCCTAGGGCCCAGCTCTGGGTGAGAGGAAGCATGTCAGAGTGGTGCAGGTCTTGTGTTCTGGAGCTGGATGGCATGAGTCCAAATCCAGACTCACCTACTGGCTGGCTCTGTGGCCTATGTGACTTATTTCACCTACATATGCCTCAGTTTCCTCCCCCATGTGGCTAATAATAGCACCTACCTCCCAAGATGGTTATAGTTAAGTGACATAATCCAGTTAAGGTGATTAGGATAGTACCTGGCACAGAGTAAATCCTCAAAAATCTTGTTTTATTAGTACATAACTTCTTGTTTTTTGTGTTTTTTTTAAAGATTTTATTTATTTATTTGACAGAGAGAGACACAGCGAGAGAGGGAACACAAGCAGGGGGAGTGGGAGAGGGAGAAGCAGGCATCCCGCTGAGCAGGGAGCCTGATGCGGGGCTTGATCCCAGGACCCTGGGATCATGACCTGAGCCCAAGGCAGACGCTTAATGACTGAGCCACCCAGGCGCCCCAGTACATAACTTCTTGTTATAAGATAACCTTTCCCTTACTGATTTACTTAATCATAAGTATGTCAATTTCTTTTTTTTTTTTTAAAGATTTTATTTATTTGAGAGAGAGAGAATGAGAGATAGAGAGCACGAGAGGGAAGAGGGTCAGAGGGAGAAGCAGACTCCCCGCTGAGCAGGGAGCCCGATGCGGGACTCGATCCTGGGACTCCAGGATCATGACCTGAGCTGAAGGCAGTCGCTCAACCAACTGAGCCACCCAGGCGCCCAGTATGTCAATTTCTAATTAGGTGAGCCCAAGAGTCTCTTCCCTGTAGATAGAAGTGCTTGCCCAGGTCACGGTACAGTCAGAAGGTGATGGGCCATGATTTTAATCCAGGCCCTAGTGAGTCCAAAGTTCCTTATCTTTAGCCCATGAGACATTGCCTGCTGTGTATTTTAAGGGGGTCTTGTTTTGCTCCTGATTTTCAGCTGGTGACCTGAATGGGTGACTTGGTTCATCTCCACGTTGCCCTCTCACCTCCCCGGCTGGGAAGAGTCCCGGCCCTGGATGGTGGTGGTGGGGGGAAGATATCCCCTGGAAACTTCCCCAGGGCCAGACAGTGGGGGCCTATTCTCAGATTTGTCTTGAAGCTAGCACAGCTTTCAACTTGAGTCAGGACTGGGGATTACTGGGCCAGGCAGAGCCTCTGATTTTTTCTCTGCCTCTTTTTAAATGTTGACTGCACTGTTTCATATCCTCTCCTCCAAATCAAAAACTTTCAGAGCAGAAACTAGGGGCCACCTGGTTCAGGCTCCTCCTATTACAGACAGGAGAGGGAATGAGGTCCAGCCTGGGAGGATATACCCCAAGTCGCGCTTTAAGTCATCAGCAGAGCCGGCCCCTGCTTCTCTTGCTTTCTGCCCATGCTTGCGTGCAGCCAGTCCAGCCTCTGCCCCCCTCAGCTGTTGGGAGATGATCTCACATTGTCCCAGTGCTTGCTGTATGCCAACCACTGGACTAGGCACAAGCCTCGTGCTTCTCAAAATGTGACCAGCAGCACCTCAGGCCCACTCCAGACTTGAGTCAGAAACCTGGAGGGGATGGGCTATCTTGCTATAATATTATTTTTTTAAGATTTATTTGAGAGAGTGTGTGTGTGCGTGCACACACGTGCGTGAGGTGGGGCAGGGCTAGAGGGAGAGAAAGGGAGAGAGAGAGGGAGAGAATCTCAGACTCCCCATTGAGTGTGGAGCTCCACTCAGGGCTCCATCTCATGACCCTGAGATCATGACCTAAGCCGAAACCAAGAGTCTGACACTTAACCGACAGCGCCACCCAGACGCCCCTACAATTTTTAATGGTTGTGTTTCCTCATAAGGCTATCCAATAATTTAACCAGTCCACTTGGGACACATTTTCAATTTTTCCCTATTATTCTGTATTAGAAATACTGTGATGAAGATCCCTGTAGTTAATTTTCTGCAAAGACCAATAATTATGCTAAACTCCTGAAAGTGACATTTCTATGTCAGAGGGTATATAAATGTATTTTTTTTTAAAGATTTTATCCATTTATTTGACAGAGAGAGAGAGACAGAGAGAGAGGGAACACAAGCAGGAGTGGGAGAGGGAGAAGCAGGCTCCCCAGTGAGCAAGGAGCCCGATGCAGGACTCGATCCCAGGACCCCGGGATCATGACCTGAGCCAAAGGCAGATGCTTAACGACTGAGCCACC